AAACGCTATTACGCTAATGAGCAGAAGGCTTCGTTGTTTACGTAAAACATTGTTCCAAAACATAATGCAACGGTGACGTCCAATGCTATGCTGAACGTTTGCCAGATCTCGATATCAGAAAGCGTCGTGAATCAAGAGAGTGCATGGCTAATGAACTCCCATTACGAAAAGCGCAATGAGTATTTTAAGTATAGCATTTAAATATATAGTATATTCACACGAGCAAAACTATTTTATCCAATTTGACAATCAAAAGGCAAACATTACACAAATGAACTTAGTTTTGAAAATTCAATCAAGATGGATAAATAATAATTAAAAGCCAGACCTATATCTAAAGTGATTTACCTACAAGTTTCCTAACCTATGTCTGTGTAATTGTTTTTATTTGAAAATAAATTTACCACTATGAAAACTAGTAGTTCTACAACATCACCCACGTTTTCGCATTATTTGTAACCAATACTCAATATTATAATACTACATGCACTGAAAAGTCTTTCCAACTAGATACTTTTCTGTTCGCCTCGCCAAGATTCGAACTCACACTCAAACAGTTAAAATTCCACCCATGTTATCCTTATGCCACCACTCGAAAGGCTAAATTCGACATTTTCCAAGTTTCACAAAAGGCGATAATTTGCTTTCGCAATTTTCAAAAATTCAGAGATTGTCATTTACATTACTTCCAGATTGAGTTTTAAAGAACAGATTTCATTGAGGAAAAAAACTCTACCTTCAATATTGTTGTTTCGGAATGTTTATTTTCTGATTGCAATTTCCGAAAATACAGAGTTCGCCAAAAATGTGACCTGCGAAAAAATGTTAAATGACTAATGTTCTATGCAAGTAAAAAATTAACGAACAAATTTAGAACGTTTTGTGAGAAAATCACATAAAATTACGCAAAACCAATTTTGAAATCTTCGACATTCCAGAGATTTCAACGAAAACGAACCCCCCACCATTTTTAAGCATCATTTACGCTATTTCCATTAAACGTTTCCAGACATTTTTCAGAAAATTTTGAAAATGTTGTTACGGTTTCCTGTAAACTACAACAAAAATTAAAATATCCGTTTCAAAATCGAAGGGCCTTGAGTTCTGTCAGATCGATCGGGGAATGTCAGTTTTGGAGCTAATCGGCTAAACGGTTTAGGTGCGAGCGTTGACCGTGCACAGACGGAGGACAGACATTTTCCCGTCAATAGATTTTTGGGCATCAATGACCCACAAGTCTTGGATTCTGATTACACAACGTGCTATAATAATAATATTTATTTGGCTACAATTGGCTGATTGCCAGGTGGTAGCCACAACCCTACAGTTTCACAATATATGAACATTTATAATTCAAAAACAATTTAGGAATATAGGAAATAATTTACTTTGTTTAGGAACCAGATTTATTCACATTTCCGCCAGGTCGCGACAATCATTGTTTTTCTGCCGATAAATCGACGTTTTGAAGCGCACGATTACAAAACATTATCTTTCTACGAAGTAAAGCGATAAAGCAAATATTCGCAAATATATAAAGCAAGTCGTGTTAGTGCAGTATCAAGAACCCCCAAACTGCGATTCTGACTGCACAACGTGTTAGAGGAAGTAATTAACTCCCTCTATGAACATGATATATTACCTTCTTCGTCACCAGGGCCCGACAATCATTGTTTCTCCGTCGATAAATCACCGTTTCCCGCGCACAACGAAACTTTGTTGTTGTTTTTTATTACGAAGTAAGGCGATTAAGTAAAACAAAAATTAGTCATTCGCATGATACGACGGTTCTCCAAAATCCCTAAAATTCAGTTTGCCTTTCCCCTTTACGTTGCATTGTGTGCGAGTGCGGCGCGGGGGCGCGACCAGCCAGCGGCCGCTGCCAAACGCCGGGCGGCTGCCGGCGGTGAAGGGCGCGGACATCGATTTGGCAGCCGACGAGCCCGCGCCGCACCAGCAACCGACTGCGGCGCGGGGGGCGTGGCCGCTGCCCCGAAAACTGCAGCTCCGCCACCACCATCGCCAGCGGAAACTGTCGCGCGCACAGTGGCTAATGCAGGGGTAACGTGGAGATCGTAGTTTAATAACTCCCCATCAAAACGCCCACGCGCATTCCTCATGCGCAGCCGCGTGACGGCGCGCACAGTCCTCCAGCGGCTAAAAAGGCATTCAAGTAGAAAAGAAATCGATCTGTTAAATTCAATTGTCCCAAAATAGCTGAAGTGAGTTGAATTACATCTACTGTCAGTGACCACTGCACGTAGTCACCCGTTTACTAAAAGATATTTGCGAACCAATTTTTGAAGGTTATGTTCCGAAATTATAGACTGCATCTGGATTATCACAATCGATAATATTACATTTCTAAACAATTAAGATCTACATGTTATGGCTACTTCACTATCTTATTTCAACTAACTAGTACACTTATAACGTGAGAGAGAAATTTGCATATGAAGGGTCAAGATACTTAGGTGATGGTAATAAATACATAAATCCAATAATAATTTGATACTTTCAAAATAATTATGTGTGCTTTTAATCTCTGCTTAAATTTTCCCTAACAATGTCTTTGTAATGTTGAAATGGAACTACAGAAAGATGCAGCTCAAAAGTATGACGTAACACCAATAACAATTGCCATATGAAACAAAGATCAACCATGTGATGACTGTTTTTGTATTGTATTTAATGTCACGAATGTTCTCATATTGTGGAACAGTAAAACATGCCAGAAGTATGTGGCAAAATTAATAATTACCAATAGCCATAGAGATATACTTGTTAAATATGTAGTGCTTTACGGTTGTAACCTTAATACAGTTCTTCTTTATGTGCGATGTCATCGCAGGGGTTCATCAAGTTAAAATTTAATTTTTATAATCGAGTGGTTCCAGCTGAATTTAAAATTAGCAGTTAGTACGTTCAGCACGTGTAAAACCTAAGTTATAAGAAGCCACAACATAAAATCAAACATTCTCAAGATACGACAAAATAAATGAGAAATGAAACTCTAGTTGCTGTGTGAAAAATTGGTCATATCTCAAAATCCGAAAATGAAATCTCACAATTCCATGTCATCTTCTCTTATCGTATTATCATAATACATTTAAAATCCCAACAACATTATAAATATCGAAGTTTTATTTAACATTGAATATTAGAATTACTGACAAGAAATTGATTTGTGCATTTCTAGAAGTAAAATGACCTTAACTTAATGCCAGAATCGCTTAACCCAGCTCACGCTTCACGACACTCATACGAACACCTGAGAGCTGGATGTAGGGCATCTACTCGTGGATGACCCAATCGGCGACTGCACCCGAGTTATGCCACCTCGCCCGTTTACTAGAAGGCCACCGGTTCCCCAGAGTAGCACACAGCGGTTAACCCACCCACGTCACAGAATATTTCATCCGAGTTGAAGGAGCGGCACAGCAGTTATCTAAGAAACCGAAAGAACCACGAACATCTACTAAAGGAGACAGGGTAAAAATAAAACAGCACTCACACGTTATTGGTTACACAACTATTACAATCAACGTCTGGGTCAATAACTGTCATCCCAAACCTTTTTTTACGTACCTTTTTGATATCAACAAGGCCCCCTGAAACGTTTCATTTTTTACTACTAACTCGCCTTTCAAAAAGTGTTCCAAATTCGTACGTTCGTTTTTGAAGAAAAAAATTAATATAATTTGAAATAATAATTTGAACGAATATATATTCCAAACATATTTGTGGATATGAAAGTTAAATTTACGCACCTGTAATTTGACCTTTCACATCGTGCATTCCGAAAAAGATTGTAAATTGGTGGCAAAAACTACAGAAGTATAATACAACACACTAATAATTTTATGACTAATATAATACATTTTCAATTTTGTTTTTCACAGAAATAACAGTTACGAATTTGAAATGCATCTGCTGGTCAATCATAGAGCATTGTGCAACAATTATATTTTGTGAAAATTTTGAGTTTAACCTGTTATATCTGTTACAACACTCGGAAATTTTTGTTTCAAACCTTAGATATAGTTAAACTAATACACATCATAGTTTTTTTGAAAATAAGGATTGAACACTGAATTGTGATTTTGTTTGTTTGTTTGTTTGTTTTTACAAAATCTTACGAGATTAAAAAAAAATATTATTCCTCGACTAAATGCCTGCAGATTATTTATAAACATTGATTTATATTTCACAAATTCCTCTTAGATAAGCAAGAATGATGCTTTTAATAACATGACCTCAATGTGACTCACCAAATAAAGCTTTATCAGATTCACGAAAAACCGTATAGTCACCGCTGTCCATGCATTGCCTTCAATTAGCCCCCGATTTATTTGGCCTTTGCCGCCGACCAGCCTCAGGCCAGCGCCGCGGCGCGTGCCGGTCCTCGCCCGGGGCTCACTCACCCCGGGACGCCGGCGTGCGACTGGGCGGGCAGACCCTGGGCGCCCTCGCCTCAGGCGGCGAATTAACGCCTCGCCCCCACCACTCCGCCCCGCACCGTCACGTTACCTCCGGGCCGAGCGGGTCTGCACCTCGGACCCCGCCCCTCCCGTCCCGCCACTCACCGCACGTGTCCTCCTCCTTACCCCGTAGCCGTCCCGCCCGTCCGTCCCGTCCGTCCCGTCCGTCCTCCACGTCCCTGTCCCGTCCCGCCACGCTCCGCCCCGCTCCGCCCGCTCCGCCCGCTCCGGCCCCGCTCCGCCCCGCTCGCCCCGCTCGTCCCCGCCCGCTGCCGCCCCGCCCCGTCTCCGCCCCGCCCCTCCGCCCCGCCCGCACCCCGCCCCGCCTGCCCGCGCCCGCTCCGCCCGCCCGCAACTTAATCCTCTGCATTACCCGAAGTGTCCGCCCCGTTCCGTCCCTCCCGTCCGTCACGCCCTACGCAATCGCGTCTATCCCGCCCGACGTTCCCTCCTATCATTGTCCCCGCAAACGCTTCCACCCTTGCCCTGCCTCCTAATTCTCACTTGTCCTCGTCTAACCTCCATTCCTCTCGCTGCTAGCCCTGCCCGCCCGCCACCAGTCGTGACGGCGTTGCCCCGGCAACCGGGAGGTGGAGGCGAGCGGAAGTGCGGTGTCCGACGCCGCAAGGAATTAGGCCCTCCGACAACCCCGCACGTCGCCGCGCGACACAGTGTGTCGCGTCGCGACTTCGCCATTCGCTTGGAATACACGCGAACGTCCGGGATCAACGGAGCAGTACAAATGTTGATCCAATCTTCAGGACTCGCTTGCCGATTTGACCAAATAAAACTTAACAGATTTCAGAAGATATTTTATAAAGAGAAAAGACGTGAATTTCGTGAATTATGTATATTCTCACTTCACCCGACCTAGCCCGCCTGCTCAACTTAACATGACCTGTCAATCCCGCTATCTCTCTCCGTCCGTACCATCCACAGCTTGTCGTGCTATCAACGTTGCCCAGGCACTGTAACATATGCACTGGCACATACTCCTGCATTCTTCCAGTAAAATAATGTCATCTATTACTCATAATCAAAGTGCACTAATCGAAATTATAAAAGATCTTTACTACAAAATGTTATAGGTTTTTAATAACGTTGATTTTTCCACTGCTTCGAGATATGCGAAATAATAAAGTAGGCCATTTAGGTGAAAGGGCACAATGATCAGTGCTAATGAATCAAATGAAAATACCGTATTTTTGTGGTGTGTTGTTTGAAGACACGGCATTAAAATGATAAAGATGAATATCGTCCCCTTCATAAATTAAAAACTCAAACTTAACTTTTTTAAAACTTTCACTATGATATAAAAGAATAACATGGACCCACAGATTTCCGCTCGGCACCCAGGGAACGTTCTCAAAACACACTCATAACCGCATACACTCAATCCGCTGCAGTACGGCGAGGCGGGCGCTGTTGCAACTCGAACGCAGGGGTGTATGGGGCTCATGAGGGGGAAGACGCAATAGAAAGCGAGCCGGCAGGTGACTCCCCAACTGCCGCCGCGCGGCGCTCCTGATTGAGGCTCCGGCCGCCCTAAATCTCCTCTCGCACCGCCGCCCATCACCCGCCTCCGCCCCGCCTCCGCCCACCGCCGCCGCCGCCGCTCAGCGAATAAATTTGCATTCACTCGGCGAAATAATTCGATTCGCCGCACGCAAGGACGGCCAGCCCCATAAAGTCTTCCGCCCTCTGAAAGTGAGGCTAAAGACTGCCCATTTAATTACGCGCGAGGGTCGTTTAATTTCGACTATTCCCCGCCGAGACACGCCGGCCGTGCATACCTTGCCCGGCCGCGCCCGCGCCGCGCCGCTCCCGGGTGAAACGGACTTTGGGCTCTCACCGACACGTGCGTGGCGAGCAGCAGCCCGGTGAGGGATGGAGACAAGAGGGAAGACGTGGAGGGAAATCTAAGAAGAAAGATGAAGATAACAGATGCTCGGGTACGTGGAGAGAAGAATGCCGTGAGTGGCGAGGTGATTAAGGAGATAACTGTGATCTGTGTTTTCCGTGGTTTCTCTCCGTAACAAAACGAATGCCGAACATACCTAACAAAAGAGACACTTTCCTTCTTTTCCTTGGTCCAATCCCGCCCTACTAAACACACATAAAATTCAGTTCACTACCACACAATCGAAGGAAATGGTCGGGACCTTACCGCTTATCTGGACTGGGTGTATCTGCTGGTGGAATACCTGGTTGGAAAAAATCCCGTTTAATCGACGTTAAGGTGGCGCCGGATCTCGCCCGTCAGAAGGAAAGCACTACACCAGCAACCCCTATCAAGAATCAGCACTGCACTCACACATAAATGGACCATTGCTTTACGAGCCTGCAATCATAAATCACCAATCAAAAAAGGATACGGGGAGAGGAGAGGAGAATGCGGGCAAGTAACAAGAGGGAGAAAAACGAGAGTAATGATGAGGAGGAGGATGAAGTGGTGATGAAGATGAGTAACGATATAGATGAGAAAGAAGTAGGACAGACGGGGAAAATCTTAGGGCGCCAGAACTTAAGAGCTTATCTCGCAAGAACGTGGCGCAAACTAGAACAAAGTTTTGAAAGATGCAAAATGCTTGGTGTAGACCGACGGAAAGTTCCGGTTAAGATTCGTTGGTTCGAACTGGCTGAGATGAAGTGCATTGGTAAGGCAGCGATGGGTAAGAACATGTTGTGGGTGGAAGAAGAAGGCAAGAGAGCTTCAACAAGTTGGAGGTATTGATCGTTTGGGTGCACAAGCAAGACGTTTGGAGAACAAAGCCTCGCTGCATCTTCTCTACTTCCACCGAACCTAAGACCGCGTCGCCAGCTGCTTGCGTGATTGATGCGACAGTCTGCCTCAACACCGAAAATTTCCGTCAAAGCCTTCTAAAGCATGCTTACTAATTTACGTTTAAAAAAACAGCACGTTGTACATTCGAATCTCTCACGAGAACCGTGACGAGGTTGTGTCTCTCGGTTAGTGAGATTCTCTAAAAGTGGACCATTTTGAAATTGGCTATGCTAATGCACTGTTTGACTAGACGCCGTCGCAGTTCATTTTTATCCGCTTGGAGATTTTCTTCACTTTTACTTCTGGCTACGTCAAATTCCCCCACTTTTCTTGGGGAAAATTTTCTAGGCCTATCTACTGATTAATCATTCAGTTTTCAATGTTTTATTATCGTACACAGGCGGAATCTCCAGCACCACCCTTAACGAAATGGCCATTGACTGCGCAAACCGATATATCCTTCGTTATCCTTGCCCTTTTCTGTCACACTTAACACGCTCATACGTTCATGCACCAATACAACACTGTTGGGAGACTTAAGATTTTCCGCCAAGTAATTATAGATACCTGGATCGGCAAAGACTCGCAAGATGCATACACATAGGAGTTCCATAAGTTTTCAGGCAGGAAAAGATAACGCTTTATCTATGGGAATACTCTTATGAGCCATATACTAGGTTTATCTTAATTGTTGTATGATGTAAATTTTGCAGCCGACATCACTATTTTGTGAAGGTAATTGAGTCGTGCGGTGGGTGAAATCTCATGGTGTTATCTTCTTCGTGCTAAGCACTGTGCTTACTCCTGAGATTGAAAGAATCATTGTGAAAGTCCTATGGCTTTAAAGGTGGACCATTTACCACTATAGTCCAGATTTGATACTCTGCCACGTCTACCAGTTATCAAAATGATAAATAACCTTCGGAGAAGAAGTTTCAGATAAAGTGAGTGCAAGAAGGTTGACCATTTTGCGAATAAAAATTGTTGTTTTTTTTTCTTCAAGCTTGAGATTTTAATAGATGTGAAAAGTGTTGGAATTAGGAAACCAAGTTGAAAAGTTATTTAATGTTTCTTGGGCTAATAAAAAAACTTTAGTGAGACCAGAAAATTATGAACCTACCATTAAAGTGGACCGGATTCCACCGTAACACAGGAGAAAACCCATTTACGGGTTTAGGACCAGACTACATCATAGGGAGGAAAGACCAGAGCAGTTGACCCGTCCAGAACACGAAAAAACGCGTGCATGAATACCCTCTACACTGCCCCACCCACTGAAGACTGCGATATCGGAAGCTCAGGAAGCAGCAACGCCGCCAGTGAGAGACGGCCCACAAGATGAATGCGCGGGGGAAAGAGCGACGAGTGCAATAAGAGGCTGGAAACGCAGCGCGAAACTATCCGGACGCCGTTTAGAGAGCTCGCGCATTGTGACAGCCAGCGTATGAAGCAGATTCCAGGTTGTTCGCACCAGCCAGATTCCACGTGCGGAACAAAAGACAATGAGTCATGGGGCCCGAAAAGAGCGCGTCTGGCGAGGCGGCGCGGCTGGCTGTGGGCGTGTCACCGCGGCCCAAGCCCGCGGTTCGCCGGAGGGGGCGGGCCAGGCGGCCGCGGCCGCGTTCGCGCTGGGACAGGCTCTGAACGCGACTAATCATGGCCCCATAAATCTGCAGCCGCCAGGGCATAACACTCGCGCCGCCGCGGGGCGCCGTCGCGCGCCCCCCGCCACTGCCCGGCGCCCGCCCACGCGCTCACGCCCTCACGCGCTCGCGCGGCGTACCAACTGGAGCGGGCACAGGCTCCGATTCTCGGCTTTTCGCAGTTATCGCACGCATTTCTGATCGCTATTGTAATTTCGAATTGAAAGTTTTTAAGAGGTCTGAACAGAAA